GAACTAGAGGATCTTTAAGGTCCTTTCTAACCCTAGCCATTCTGTGGTTTGACAGGGATTTCTCAGGCTCTGTTAGATCTGAGATCCATGCTCACACACAGGGAATGGAAGAAGTTAAGAACTAGGATTATCCAAGAAAGAAATTTAGCTACAAGCCATTTTTGGGTGTTAATACAGCCTCTGCTTGCTAGATTTATTATTTCTTCCAGACAGGACAAACAGAAGAGTTTTGCTTACAATCATATTAGAGAACATCAACAAGATTCCCAAACCTATTAGTAATTATAACAATTAGAAGAAAATTGTGTGGATAATGACAAATGTTCTTTCTTCTGCTCATTTTGTTTCCTACCCATGTACCTTACAGACACATTCAGAAGTCTCTCAGCTTTGTTATCTTTCCTCAGACCCTATTTTCCTGCCCTGGGAGGACCAAGACAAGGGACTCATTGCCCCCCAGTTTCACACTACATTTTCCACCCCTAGGCAGCTGCACACAAAGTCACCTGCCCAGGCTTGCAGGCTCTGCTCTCTCCCCCTGCTCCACAGTCACCTTTTTAAGACCATCACCGAGGAGTGATGGATCAAGGCAGGGTGATAGCCCTGAATCTGAGTACCCCTGCTTGCAGGAATCATTAAATATATGTTGAACTCAACATAGCACATGTCAATCACTTTCAATATTTCAATAAAACCATTTCTCTTTTATAGTCAGTTGATGAAACCTGAAATGATGGCTGCAACAACAGCTGTCAGTTTTAAAGTTCTTTTGATGTAAAATGCATTGACACCCTCTCCTGAATTAAAAAAAAAAAAAGATCTGGGGGAAAAAAGAATTTTGTCTTTTCACTCTAAGATGAGCACAGAAACAAAAGCTTCTTTCTTGAGCAACTGTAACTAAGGTATAAATTCATTTTTATTTTTAAATGAGGTGTATGTGTTCTATTCCATGCACAAATAATTTTACTATACCCTTTGAATGCTCAATTTTCAGAATTATTTTCTTGTTGAATTCTTCAGCTCTCCCATGAGCTTCTGTTCCCCCCACCCCTTCCTTTCACTTTTAATTGAAAAGCAATTTTGTTGCCAGGTTGAACCACAACTTTACTTGACAGGTCTACAGAGGCAGCTCCAACACAGGGTCGGGAGCCAGTGTACGGGGTGCTGCAAGTTCTGTGAACATGAGCACTCAGATGTGTAAGAAATGAAGGATGTAAAAGCCAGACAGGAGTACAAAAGAACCAAACAAACCCTCTGGTACTGAAACTCCATGCACTGGAAGATGGATGGATAGCTGTCAAACTTGTCACAAGCACACAAAACCCCATGGTTTTGCAGAAAGCATTACAATAAAACTAGAAGTTTGCAACAGTGAAAGGCAGCATGGATGAAAGCAAAAGTGTTCATTTGCAGGTATGTACCTAGCAATTAGCTTTGGCTAATTCCAATTTTTGCCAAAAGAAGAAGACAATATGCTTGCTGATAGCATTCAAGAGATGATCAACTGTCACAATTTACAGAAGTCCTTAACAGTTGCTCGCTCACACGTTATGGGAGATGCAGAGAGATCAGAGCAGCAGAAGGACTTTAAAATCAATATCAATACAGGATGACGGAGGATGAAGAGACTGAGAGCAATCCTGCAGCATAGGTACTGGTGGATGACAAGTTGGACGTGAGCTGGCAAAGTGCACTCATGGCCCAGAGAGCCAACCTGGGCTGCATGAAAAGAAGCAGGGCAAGGGAGGTGATTCTGCCCTTCTACTCTGCTCCTGTAAGATCCCACCTGGAGTGCTGCATCCAGCTCTGGGGGCCCAACAGGGACACAGCCTGTGGGAGCAAGTCCAGAGGAGGGCCACAAAGATGATCGGAGGGCTGAAGCACAACTCCTATGAAGAAAGGCTGAGAGAGCTGGGGCTGTTCAGCCTGGAGGAGAAAATCCTCCACCAAGACCTAATTAATAATTAAAGGACAGACTTTTTAGCAGGGCCTGTTGCAACAGGACAAGAGGTGATGGTTTTAAACTAAAAGAGGGTAGATTCAGACTAGACATAAGGAAGAAAACTCTTACAATGAGGGTGGTAAAACACTGGTACAGGTTGCCCAGAGAGGTGGTGGATGCCCAATCCTCGGAAACATTCAAGGCCAGGATGGATGGGACTCTGAGCAACCTGATCCAGTTGAAGATGTTCCTGCTCATTGCAGGGGGATTTGAACTGGATGACCTTTAAAGGTCCCGTCCAACCCAAACCATTCTATGAATCTGAGGAAACAAAGGGAAGGGTGATGCAGTTCAAGTTACACACCAGCAGAATTACCCATACAGGTTCTGGGTAAAAGCAGGGCACACATTACAGCCAGAAACAAGTCTTTGGCAAAATAATAAAAATACAGAGATCAGATGAGGATGGGCAGAGCATAAGCATCTCTCCCAGTCTTTAAACATTTCCTTCCTGTTTAAGGACTTTAGTGAGAGTACACAGACCACAGCACCAAGACCTAGACACAGACTAGACATAAAAGCTTAAGGGGAAAGAGGCTCCTCCATGGAAGTCACAGGCCTGATATCTCACAGTAGCTCTGTACATGACAAGTTTGCTATTTCTAACAGATGTGAGATAGACCAGTTATCTACTGAACCACTTAAACTTTGTATGTGTATTCTACACACTCTCCTGTTCTTTTTCTTCATATTTCCTTAGTTCTGCATTTCTTAGGGTCAAACATATTCTTTCACACGTAATCACACTACAATCAGAGCTTTTCACATATAACTTTGTCCCTCTAATGCTGCAACCAGAGTTTTTCTGACAGGTCAGCTGTAGTGGTGACAGGTTAGATTCAGATAAACTGCTGCAAAGGAAATGCTGATAGTAGAAAGCAACCCCTGTCTTGACCAAGGCAAAAGCAGCCAAAAAGGTGGAAAAGGCACAGAAAGGAAACACTAGACAACTGTTGCTGGGATGAAATGAAAAGTCAAGGGTATAGAGTAATCTTGCTTCTGACTGTATCTGGCACTCAGTAATCTACTTCTTTTTCTTTCTTTCTTTCACACTAGTTCTACCACAGGAAATCTACACATGGAACAAATTACAGGTCTGGAGCATTTAATCCTGTTCACTTTAATAAATCAATCTAAGGGTGATCTAATCTATGCTAATGACCATCCAAACAGAAGTTCCACTCCTCTCTCACACTATTTTCTAGGTTCTTGGCTAAAAGCTGCAAGCTCTTCCCTTCCCTAACCTCAAGCACCGCTTTGCAGCTCACTGGACTTCATCATCATAAAGTTCAATCTACTAACTGGATGGCAAACTAATCCAACAAAACCAGAAAATTTTCCTTTCCTTAGTGATTGGGAGTGGCTTAGTCACTGCCAGTACTGCAGGTACCTGAACAGAGGAAGTGGAGGAGCCTCACACTGAAGAGCTGGTAAGAACAAGGTTTTTTATTTCAACTATGATGGGTTCTTTTCACAGGACTCACTGTCTCATGGGATCACTCAACTGAAAAAGCAAAATGTCAGCCACTTTCACCTTCCTCCCCATGGTTCCCTCCTCAGTACCAGCACCTGTCACAAGACCTGCTCCACGATCCAGCAGAACTCACTGCAGCAGAGGAACATCCTGCTCTGCCTCACAGGGCTTCCCTACCATGCTGACGAGCCAGAGTTGCAGTTTCAGACCAGTGGCACATGGATCCATTGAACTTGCAACTCTACTTTAAGCTTCATGGTTTATGGTCACCAACTATTTCAGACTTACCATACCATTTATGCTGCTGTAATCATCTCCCAGTACATATTTATGACTGCAAATGCTCTCTCCCCTATCAATGACCTACAAAACAATCATAGAGCTTCCAGTGTTCAATCTCAGTTTTAATTTAGACACAAGCAAATGACAAATGGCTGCAATCAACAGACAGTTTCACTACTTGTTGTCCAAACTTACTACAGACTAAGCTCACTATTACTGCAATTTGATACACAATCTTATGAAACCCACCTACATGTGGCAATAATAAATCCAGACATATGGAACAAACCTGTTCGTGTGAAAACAGAGGTGTGCTTATATGTAGCACTGAGTGGTTAAAATAGTGATTAGCAGTGATTCAACACTCCCATTTCACATTAGCAGTAAGTAAAGCAACTGGGGAGGGCCTCACTTGACCTTAACTGTTAAGGACGTAATGTCAACATTTGTACAATCAAGCTAGTGCCCTGCTCTGACATATTAAGATAAAAGCTAGAAGTACCTCAAATAATGAGATCTTTATTTTTAATTACCCAGTACCTTTAGGCAGCAATTACAAAGACTACAAAGGAAATCTGGTTGACCTTCAGTTATTCCAATACTTGAGAGAAGCAAGAAAAGGGCAGGTTTGAAGGAAGTGATGTCCCTTCAATTCCTAACAGAGGTAACTTTTGCATACAGTTAAGTTCTTAATGGCCCTACATCAACACAACTTAGGAATCTGGAATGATGAAAGAATACAGACATTTAATTTGTAGTTAGCTTACAAATTAAACATGGCTTAAAAATATTACTCCACACACAATTTTATGTATTTAAGAAGTTCCCTTCCAGTAATAGAAATTTTTGGATTATACATGATCAGTTTTCAAAGGGAAAAAAGTGAAGTCAACTGCTTTAAAGGTAAAGTTACTCTTATGAAATGTTTTCATGTGTATGTGTATATATTTCCTTTTAACAGAGCATGACTTTATTACACACACACAATCTTCTCCTCCCTGGCCCCTAAAAAGGATGCCTTATATTTTAGTTGCACCAATATAATTATTAGATCACACCACTGCTCTTCCCCTACTGATGTGTATCAGGAATCCCACACATAGTTCCTCTCTATCTCCAAGAAAAAAGTTTGTAATACACAAGGAGAATATTCTCTTTTACTACAGCTATTCTCAGTTTTAACACGAGATGTTTCATATAAGATTAAGATAACATACCATTAATTGAGTCACATAAACTTACCTCTAAATATATTGATGGTGGGTTATGTTCTCCTCCAAATTTGTCTAGCAGTGCCTCTATATGTTCTTGAGTCAATTTAATCATCTGTTTGATATTCCACACCTAAAACAGAAAATTAAGTTTTTTAATCATCAAAAGGACCCTGTAGAATCTGTCCTAAAACAAACAACCCCCAAAACATTTTCTTGATATTTATTAAGTCCATAATAAAAATTTTAGTTATCAATAAAGGAGTGCAGAAGGCTATCCTGTTCATCCAGTGTCAGTAATAGTATGCTTCTGAGACAAACAGAGAAAAATCCAATTTGGTTTTAAAACTCAGGACCCCATTGAATAAACAACTTCTAAGAATGGTTTATTTCTCTTGTTTATCAAGATCATATTAGGTATTTTCCTTGCAAGACTTTGCAATCCAATTTCTACAGTACCACAAAGTTTAGCGAAGGAGTTTTTCTATCAAACCTCAATAATATGTATAAACAACACTCACAAAACCTAGCCCTAGTGTTCTACTTACATGGGAATAGGATGTTTTGATCTTAAAGAGTACCTTTTACACCTTGACTTCTGTACTCAGTCTACCCTGCAAGTTATAGACCTTGGACACAATCGGGAAAACACATTTACCTCTAGTGCACAGAGACAACTTAGGGTGTTGTACTGAGAAGCAACTTATGTTGCTACTGATTCTGCACAATCTGAAAGAGTTAACTTTAGGACCTGGAGACTACTGTAGGTGAACAGCATTATGAATTCAAATTCATATCTAAAAAAGCAGCAAAGCACAAACCCAAACCTCTAAAGCAATAATGTTACACTGATGTAAGAAGCTACTTGAGTCCAAGTAAATTCAGAAATTTATAGCTGAGCACAAGGGAGGAAGAAAGGAGAATCACTCTTCATCTGTACTGTTTTTAGACTACCTATCACAAAAAATTATTCTATCAGTTTTTAGATCCAGGATGGAAAAAATGAAGGCAATATAAACAGTGCTTCTTCCAAAGGTAGTTCAAAGACTCCCATTGCCTTTTTCAGTTTAACTCTTTTCTACTTCCCTGATTAAAATATATACAGCCTCAAGACCAGGTCTGGATGTACAAACTGTGACAACCTACCTCTTAAAAAAAAATAAAAATAAAAAGCAAATAACTTCATTTTCTAAAGTAGGCACCACCAATAGGATGTAATCCAAGTTGGATCAAAACAAGTTTTATTACTTAAATTTAGAAGTTCATGAATAAACACCCTCTAAAATACTGAAACTGCATTTTGCACACCACCTTATTTCCCCATCCTAATTCTACATATCAGTTATCTGCAGCAATTTCCTGAAGGAAACTAATGATTGATTCACTTCTAGACCAATTTTTAGAACAGCTACCAGAACAATGATTTCATCAAGAAGCTGCAGTTGAGCAAAAATAGTTTGCTCAGGAACAAGCAAACCAAACTATAAAGAGTGAGGAGTATGGGGGGACACCAAAGAGTGTGCTACTCAAGTATTCTGTACACAAATTCTCTTGAGGCAACTGTGGAACTCAACCTGCTTCTCAACTTGCAATCAATTTATCACCTTGAAGCTGAGACTGCCAACCAGCAGCAAAAAGAAGCATTTCTGTGTTTTGCTAGTTTTTCCCAAGATGGCAAGGGCTAGTTGTATGCTTGGTGAAAAGAACAAGCTTGAATCAACACCATTTCAATTAATCTGTTCAATATAGGGGTGTCAATATATTAGGATGTTTACTTCCCATGTAACTGGCAATATGCTGTTAACCTGGGTGTGTACACTGAAAATTCCTGGCAATCTTAGGAATCGTCTCATGATTATCTTCAGAAACAGGTTTATTAGTATTTAATGAAACTCCTCTTATTTGGTCACTCTGGCAATTTTACCCAGCAAAGGTTTTCCTCAACATCTGCTGTATCACATCAACAACTTACTCCACTTAAACGCCTGGGCAATGGGGAGGGTGAGGAGGGAACATTCTTCACTGACAAAGTAATACAGAATTGCAGAAGGATTGAGGTTGGAAGGGAACTCTGGAGATCATCTGGTCCAAACCCCTCCTCAAGCAGGCTGCCCAGGACCACGTCCAGACAGTTTTTGAATATCTCCAAGGATGGAGGCCCCACAGCCTACATGAGCAACCTGTGCCAGTGTTCAGTCAAGCTCACAATAAAAACATCTCCTGATGTTCAGCAGGAACCTCCCATTTCTGTTTGTGTCCACTGCCCCTGGCCCCGTCACTAGGCACTGCTGAAGAGAGCCTGGCTCCATTTTCCATTCACCAGCCCTTAATCATCTTCATGGCTCTTCACTGGACTCCCTCTTATGTCTCTCTTGTATTGGGAAGTGTCCCAAACTGGACACAGCACTTGGGGTGAGGCCTCACTAGTGCCAAGCAGAATGAGCCCCTGCCAAATGAGTTTCCAAATACTTTTTTTTTTTTTTAAGATTGATAATGAGTAACTTCCCTCCTTGTATGTTATTTTCTATTTTGTGTCCATAACCACAACCTTGCTTCTCTCTTCTCTTACAGTGAAGATACCAAATAACAAATATAACTGAGCAACACCAACATGCACAATGGAAGCATGTTATCCAGATGTTGGTAAGAGATCAAACGGTGTTTAACAAGGGCAGACATCTTCCTCCTAAGTTCATATCATGAGAAGTGCAAACACTGAGTGACTATTTTAGGTCGCCCCACGAGGTTGTGGCTGCCCCATCCCTGACAATGGTCAAGGCTTTGAGCAACCTGGTCTAGTGGAAGGTGTCCCTGCCCATTCCTGGGAGGTTGGAACTAGATGATCTTCAAGGTCCCTTCCAACCCAAAACAATCTGTAATTCTACGATTGAAGAACAAACCCTTAAGTTTACTGTCAGCTGCCAGGCTACAGTAAAAATATCTTCACCTGAAGAAGCTGAAATTGAAGTCTAATGGAAGACAAAATTTCTCAGAGGAACCAAAAACATTTCCCTGAATTACCTACTGTACATCAGTGCAGTAAACCAAAAGCCTTTCCACAAGTGAATCTTACAGGGAAACTTTACATTTCTGTAATCTTAGAAAGGCTTCTCACACAGTTAAAAGTACACTGAAGGCAGAAGGAAATTTATCAAAGTCAACCATAGCAACAAATAATTACTTGTTGCACACAGAAATGGAAAAGCTATTTTGTGTCCCATATTCATCAAAAGTCTTCTGACAAGATGAGAAAACTTTCACAAATCCAGTATTGACTAGCATATTCTAGTCCTAACCAAGTACGCACAAGAACACATATGCCATGACAAAACTTCCAGGCTTCACAATTCCCTTTTAAGTGGCAACCTGTACTTAACTTTACTTAAAGAGAACTTACCTTCTGGCTTTCTACATCAGGGAATAAGTCACAGGTTTTTTGTGAACCAGAGCAACCCTTAAGCAGCTAGCTCCTTGAGAATCAACCGGTGTGCAGGTATATTGCATCCTACTATGCAGGATCCATGGCTACTTCAACTCAATTGAAGGAACTCAAGTCTTTTCCTAACTAGAACTCAGAACAAGTGACCTCACCTGACTCGAAGAAATCTGTCTCTGCCCACCACAGTACACACAGCTTCTGCCTCACAAAAACTACACCACACCTGTTGCACTGACACAGCCAGCAGAGCCAGCAACTTCAGCCTGTCCTTCCTCCTCGCAGACTTGCTTGTTCAGACAACTCAGCTCAGTTTGCATCATGTGCACAGCCCAGCCTAACCAACCTCAAGCAAAGATATATCCCTATCTCTGCTGTGGAAAAAACCCTGAAACACTAGGTTCTTCAGAATGACATCTCTGGAATTCAGCAGCATTCACATACATATAGGTTTCTTCAAACTGTCCAGATAAAATCTAAATGTACAAAAACGGCCTAGCAGGTGTCTCATTCCCCATAAGCACATACATTCCAGGAAAGCAGCAAAGAACTACCTAACAACACAGACAGCAAAAAATGACACATGGAATCCTTTTATCAATCGGTTCTGGACCAAAGAGCTTGTTCCTACACAACAGAATAAAACCAAGTTTTTAAAGATTAAAGTAATCCCTTTATCCACTCTTTATTCACACTTTCTTTAGAAGTAAAAGAAAACTGCAGAAGCCTGATGGTTATTAAGAAAGAACAGACCTATTTTTTCTTACTCTTACGGGCGCTCCACTGCATTTATGAAGCTCCACACCTATAGGAAACCGTAAACCCACGACTGCCAAGCATCTTATAGAAACACAAAAATCGATGCTGGCCTGAGAGACAGTTGCTACAAACCTTAATGCATTCTGAAAGAAATCTCCAGTGCATCTAGTACTGTCCACATGCAAGAATGGTCCCTTTCCATAGGAAACGGCACAGGGATGTGAGACACTTTGTTTCATTGTAGTTCCATGAAAAAGTAATGAATCCTTTACAGCACGGATAACCTTATCATTTTTCCAAAAAAAGCATCAAATAAATGTTTCTGTCCTATCTGGTAGCATTAGGTTAAGGTTATTCTCTATCACAAGAGATTAGATTTGATTCTCCTTTTAGTGCTGCTGACACAAGGAAGCTGACGCAGGCTAACAGACACAGGCAGCCAGACGACTGGAAATATTCCAGATATACTGGAATATATCAACTTGAATCTGCCGATTGCGGATAATTGTGCATTAATTTTGCAAATAAGCACTCCCTTGCAATGCAATAAAGATGATGACCTATTTCAAGCCAGAGGCAAGTCAGATACAGAAGAAGCCTAAATCCATTCTATTCAGGGAAGACTATGGCTCCACAAATGCGAGGCTCTAAGCCACAAAGTTATTTTCGCATCCTTTGCCACTTGTCAAAATGTGCAGTGCCCGAGAGAATACAAAGCAAACTTATCTTTCATACTTTTTGCATCTGGCATCAGTACTCAAATCTTATACCACATCCCAATTCTAAGCTGTATGATTCATATTTGGTAGAAGACACCCGAAAGTTCAAATCTACTGCGTAAAAAAAAAAAGCCATTATTTGTCCAAGCATGGGATGTCCTGAATTTGGATTATCATATTTGGCGATGATAGAGAATACTCTGGTAGAACCAACA